ATGACTGTGAGCTGTCTTAATTATCCGTAACCATAAGTTTATTGTATGGAGAATTGGTTAATTTTGTACTTATGTAGGTGACCTTCAGTAACAATGCTGTCTTTCAGTGCAAAGAAACCGGAGCCTTCACTGTTCTTGTGGACAACTATGTTAAAGAGGAAGAGGGTACAGGTGTTGTACATCAGGCACCATACTTTGGTGCAGTAAGTACAGTTTTCTTTGTTGAAATGAAATAACATATTTAAGTTGGTCAGTACTGTCCTTGTTGATGGTACTGTTCTTCATCTTCCTCACCATCTCTGCCGGTGTGCACCACTCTAAAACATGCGTGGTAATCACCGTTTGTGTTTTAAACCACATGATCAGTTGTACTTGGCTGCGGAGGTGAAGACATCTATATTGCTTTTTCTAGGTGGAGCAGATCTATATATGCTGTTTCCAATTCCACCATATCATTTGTTATTGGCAACAGCAGGATTAGACATCTTTCCCAGTCATGGATACGAATAAAGTATTGGCACTGAAATGTAAATGTAACATTTATGACTAATATGGCATATATTTGGCTTTGTCTGCTCGTGCTTTTCCATTAGCATGGTTATCCAATTCAGCTTCCATTGGGATTTTCAGTTGAGCTACTTGTTGAATCTTCGTGTGGATGTCAGGGTATCTTTATCTGCATATGGAGCCCTGAACTATCGAATTTTGGGAAGATAATATTGACAGATAATATAAGATCTCCTCCAGGCTTTTGTTTCTTTGTAATTGTTTCGAATTGCATCATTGAAAGTACCTGACCTTTTATTTGTTGCATCTGAAATATGATGCCTTTGGATTTTTAAAGTATCAGCTCCTTTTTAAATTCTGAATAGATGACTTAATGTTCTGTTTTGTTTTTAAGACTGGTGTAAATCTGTATGTATTTCGGCCTTTGTAAATTGTGCATCCTTTTGTGTTCTTGGGAGGTATAATGTTGACATTCAGTGAAATTGACACCAACATCAACAGTTACTGGGAAAGTTTCACCCGAAATTTTACATGTTGTCTTTTGAACTGCAGTGGAGTTATTTTTCTTGTTTCTGCACTTGTAATAAGCCTTAAAATGATCTATTGGGAATGAAATTACTTCCACATCTGTGTAGAACAGTTTTACAGCTGTCCTAATTGCAATCTCTTTTGAATAACATTGTAATATTGTTACCACTACATTTCAGCTGTTTCTGTGCCAATTGTATTGAATGTTTGACATTGTAGGATACAGTATATAACTTAGATCCTGCAGTAACCCACACTGTTAATCATTGAGTATTGTATGTGAGTGAAAAGCTAAATGGAGAGCAAAGAGATAAGGGGTCTGTGTGGAGGTTGCACATTTCCCCTGTCTGCATGGGTGTCCTCTGGGTCCTCTGTTTTCCTGCCACAGTCCAAGGATGTGCAGGCTAGGTGGATTGGCCATATTAAATTGCCCACAGTGTGAAGGGATGTGCAGGCTGGGTGAATTAGTTATGAGATGCTCTTTGAAGGGTGGATGTGGGCTCGAAGGGCTGAATGGCCTGCTTCCACACTGTAGGGATTTTATGATTCTATGAAGAAGAGAGAATCCATGAAACAAAGTGTGGTTGCTAGAATACCTTTAAAGGGCTGTGAAATAGACTTCAAGTTGTTAAAGGATAACAGAGCAAAGAGTTAATAGTAATTTGGTGCCAAAGTGGATCTTAAAATGAACACAAGGATGAGGCAGGAGACTACTTGGGGTGAAGCAAAGCTGGAGACTGATTTTTAAATGAGGACTGTAAATCTTATTACAAAAGCAAAACAAACTAAAAATAAAAAATGCTAGAAGTACTCAGCAGTTCAGGTTATTTCTATGGGGAGAAACAGTTTTAAAGTCTCAGGTTGGTGACACTTTTTCAGAATTGAAATCTTAATATGTGAATGTTTTACTCATACAGTGAGACAAGCATTGAAATGGAACTTAACAAGGCACTGGCAGTTTTCATTTGGAAATAGACCATGTGCTTTCGTTCTCAATAAGTTTGGAGTTTGTGAGCACTAATTGCAATTATTGATAGCCAAGAACGGGAAAAATATTCATTGATGTATTAGCAGTAGAGAGGAGAGGTAGGGGTTGTTCCTCTAGTGGCTAAAAGAATGGACTTCTGAATGAACTAGATGTAGATTTTGAAATGCAGCTTGCGTTAAGCAAATAGCAATGGTTTGCATCTCTTGAATTGATGTGAGAGCGCAGTTTGAGGTTTTGAATGTTAGCTCGTTGGGTTGCACGGTTATTAGACAGCTACACTTTTGGAAACACCAGGCATACGGATGGAGGAGACTGTATGCTGGTGAATCACAACACCAACCACTAGCTCGAGGGACAAAGGAGACTCTGGGATGGCCTTTCCAGATAACTGATTCTGCCAAAAAATGATACGTTAATTGGATTCGTAAAGCTAGTATGAAATAGCTACTGAAAGAAAAGACAACCAAGAGGAATAACAACAAACAGTTATTAATGCATTTTATGTTTCTTTTTCTGTTTAGAACAGAATAGTTTCAATGTTGCGATGGATTTATAACACACGTGCCTGTTGTCTAAATCTTCTTAATTTTGGTGGTATTTGTTAAAACATGTGACTTTTCCAAGAAAATGATGAAAGAATGGCTTGTGGTAAATTGCTTGTCATGCAAAAATATGTGCATTTTTGACTATTTTGAATATAATTTGAACTTGACCTGTAAAAACAGCAACAGGCTGTTTTCATGTTTCATCAAATACAAAATTAAAGTTGATTTTGATGGATAACCTGGATTTATTATATTAACCATGATTTAAGAATTCCTTTTTGAGGTTAACCTAAAAGTAAGTAAGACTTTTTGCTTTAGTTTTCCAAACATAATGTTTTTAGGTTCTTTTTCTGTTGTGGTGCAGTGGCCTGGATTTTCCAGTACCCAGACGGTCATTATTCCAGTGTAGATGGGATTGCACATGGGACCAACATTCCCTATAAGCTGTACAGCATGTGTACAGCTGCTCCAAGGTTCTGCATATGGGTCTCAGAGGCCTGTGCAACCACGAAGAAAATTCAAGGGAATGCTGTTGGGGACCCTAAGTATCTCCATCACAGCAGGCTCCAAATGAATCACCCACGAAATTGAAGATTCCACTGGCCAATTCCTGTATGCCTGGAGCCCTCCAAAAGTCTCCATTTAAATCAGAGAACTCGGAGGGTTCCACTGAAACTTAACAGTTAATTAGGAAACATAGACTAACTCCTGAGTAACAATTCAACTGACCTACCCTCCCAGTATTCTAACCTCACACTTAACTCATGTCCTGAGCATTTGAGAGCAGCTGTCAAGGTGCCTGTCTGTGATTCTGGATCTTAGACAGTTGGTGTCAGTGATTTTAGACCTTTTAGTTACAGAGTATGGCAGCTGACTATTGTTCAGAGGTGACACAGTTTGCCTTTGCAAGACATTCTGGATTATGAATGAACTGTCAGAACAGAAGTACAACTCCACATCTCTGGAGAAACCGCGATCAAAGTATCCTGGGGGGCACGGTGGCACAGTGGTTAGCACTGCTGCCTCTCAGCGCCAGGGACCAGGGTTCAATTCCACCCTCGGGCGACTGTCTGTGTGGAGTTTGCAAGTTCTCCGGGTGCTCTGGTTTCCTCTCACAGTCCAATGATGTGCAGGCTAGGTGGATTGGTCATGCTAAATTGCCCGTAGTGTTCAGGGACGTGTAGATTAGATGGGTTATGGGGGATAGGTCTGGGTGGGATGCTGTGAGGGTCGGCGTGGACTTGTTGGGCCGAAGGGCCTGTTTCCACACTGTAGGGATTCTATGATCTATGATCTAAATGCAGCACAGTCTTCTTTGATTTAAAAAAAAGACTGGTGTGTCAATCTGTGTGAAATGCCACTCATGGAAAATCTGTCCCAGTCTATTTTTGGTCAGTCTTCACAGAATCACCAGTAACTATAGTAGGATAGACTTGGATTTAAAAAATAAAAACTTTTTTTGAAACATTGTACCTTTAACCAGTTTTGTCCAAACAAGCAGCAACTTATGAAAATTGTGCCTTCTCAAGTAGCACCTTTGGGGTCGATGTTGCAATAGATGCTTTTCAACTAAGAATATTTGCAAATCTGATTATTTTAGGATTTTTCCGATTGATCTTTGAACTATAAGCATTCTTTATTGCATGTCAGTCCAGAGGTAAAAGGTAAATTGGGTTAAGAGAAGTAAAGGAAATAGTTTAATGTGCCAAAAAATTTACTTATATTCTTGGGTAAGCCAATGTTGTTGTTTTGCTTTTCCTCCAAAATCCATGTGTTGTGAGGCTAAAATTAATTTTGCCCTGTAGGATGATTTCCGTGTGTGTGTGGATTATGGCATAATCCAGAAAGATTCAACACCAGTGTGTCCAGTGGATGCATCTGGCTGTTTCACAGCTGAAGTGAAGGACTTTGCTGGATTGTATGTTAAGGTTAGTGGATGGTTGTTATATGTTGCAGTTTTGGAAGGATTATTTAAATAGACAAGGGGATGTTACATTTTATAATATGCTGTTTATCCATGTAAAAGTGTTATGTTACTGTGCAAAGATTTGCAGTTAATCACCGTAAACCACAGTGACTTAATGCAGTGCCAGTTCTGAAAAATGATTTGCTTTCATTTGATTTAATTCAATATGTCGGAATATAGTAAAATAACTAGTTTTTAAAACTAATTATGCTTTTTGCTGTTCAAGTTTATGTCGAAGAACTTAGGTTTTTTTTAACAACAATAAATATCCATTAAGTTCCGACATTTTAACATAAAATAGTGAAAATAACTATCAGCAGTTGCCTGAGTTCTGATTTTATTCTTTTAGGATGCTGACAAGCATATCCTTAAATATCTGAAAGAGAAGGGCCGAGTGGTACACAGCAGTACTTACAAGCACAATTATCCATTTTGTTGGAGGTAAGTGCTGTACACAGTGGTACTTACAAGCACAATTATCCATTTTGTTGGAGATAAGTGCTATAGGAAATGCATGTCGTCTTCAGAAATGTTATAAGAAAGTGATTTAAAATTTTGCATGCTAGCATTCAGTTTATGTAAAAAAAAAAGGGTTTAATTTACCTTTGCATACATTGATCACAAAAAAAATGATTTGCTAGGTTATCAAGAAATATCTAAGTTCTTAAGGACACTGTGTGGTCTCTTTTTCATCTATAGTCGTGTGGGAGAAATTGTTTTGACTCATGGGGCACTGGCACTATTACTGATGAAGCCATGCTTGAACCAAATGTCCTTCCATGTCACATAACTAGGACTTTGGCGTGACCTTTAAGCTAAATAGCCAGGATTTGGGTGGGGAGAGGACACTGGGAAATTCAAAAGAAAGAAAAAGGCGGCGTAATTGTGACCCAAGTGTGATAGGGAAGACAGAACATGCAGACATAAAAGGGCACCAGCAAATAAGTTAAGGAGAAATACCTTAAAACTAATGGGGGTGGATTTGAAGCAATGTTTCCTTATAGCTGCACATGCATGCAGTCACTCCAAGGTTGTGTTTACAGCAATTGGTGTGAAACATGAGAAACCTGTCTACCTTCTGAACTGAATTCTAGGTTCTTTTGAACTAGAACTCTGATCCTTCTATTCTGAATGAAAATTAAACCAATTGCCTTAATATGTTTATTCTGACTGTCGTAAAGTATATGTTTTGTATTTTTTATTTATTAACACAACAGAAGTTCTCCCAGGAGTGTGACTGCCATCATATTCCTGGAACTGATATATTTGGATAACCTTTCCAAATTAACTTTCTGACCTTTGCTTAAAAAACAACTCCACAGAACTGACCCACATCTACCTCCGTTTTGAAATCCAAATTCCAAAATATATGTTTTGCATCTTTCACCATATTAGGTCAGGTACAGTCTCAAACATTTTGAAATTTGCAAATGTAATACTTTTCTTCAAGAAAGCAAGGAGAGAGAAAAACGGGATTGAAAGGAAAAATTTATTGCTAAGAGATATCTAATTAATGCACTTGGAAATAATATGACTCGAAAAAGTCAATGTAGTTTTATGAACTGAAAATCTTGTTAGGAAATAAAATTGTTTCTGTTTTTGAACATTATCTGCCATGCTAGTTAGAGGAACTAGTAGATGTGCACCACACAAAAGATTAGAATACAAGGCCAATTTTGACGATATTAGGCAAGAACTTTCAAACTTATTTGGGAGCAGATGTTTGTAGGTAAAGGAATGGCTGGAAAATGGGAAGCCATCAAAAATGAGACCACAAGAGTCCAGAGACACTAGTCCTGTTAGGGTGAAGGGCAAGGCTGGATGACTAAAGAAAGTGAGGTTTTCATCAAGAAAAATAAGGAAGCATATGTCAGGTATAGACAGCAGGGATTGAGTGAATCCCGAGAAGAGTAGAAAGGCTGTAGAAGTATACTTGAGAGAAATCAGGAGAGCAAAAAGGGGACATGAGATAGCTTTGGGAAGTAGGATTAAGGAGAATCCAAAGGGGTTCTATATATGCAATAAGGACAAAAGAGTAACTAGGGAGAGAATAGAGCCCTTTAAAGGTCAACAAGGCCAGTTATGTGTGGAATCACAGGAGATGGGGGAGATACAAAATGAGTATTTTGCATCAGTGTTTAGTGTGGAGAAGGATATGCAAGATAGGGAATGTGGGGAATTACATAGCGACATCTTGAAAAATGTCCAAATTACAGAAGAGGAGATGCTGGACGTCTTAAAGTGCATAAAGGTGGATACATCCCTGGGACCTGATCAGGTGTACCTCGAACTCTGTGTGGGAAGCTAGGCAAGTGATTACTGGGCCTGTTGCTGAGAGATTTGTATCGTTGATAGCCACAGTTGAGGTGGCAGAAGACTGGAGGTTGGCTAACATGATGCCACTATTAAGGTGGTAAGGAAAAGCCAGGGAACTATAGACCAGTGAGCCTGACATCAGTGATGAGCAAGTTAGAACATAGAACATTACAGCGCAGTACAGGCCCTTCGGCCCTCGATGTTGCGCCGACCTGTGAAACCAATCTGAAGCCCATCTAACCTAAACTATTCCATTATCATCCATATGTTTATCCAATGACCATTTAAATGCCCTTAAAGTTGGCAAGTCTACTACTTTTGCAGGCAGGGCATTCCACGCCCTTACTACTCTCTGAGTAAAGAACCTACCTCTGACATCTGTCCTATATCTATCACAGTTGTTGGAGGGAATCCTGAGGGACAGGATTTACATGTATTTGGAAAGGTGAGGACTGATTAGGGATTGTGTGTGGGAAATCATGTCTCACTAACTGAGTTTTGAGTTTTTTTTGGAAGAAGTAAAGAAGAGTGTTGATGAGGACAGAGTGGCGGATGTGATCAATATGGACTTCATTAAGGCATTCAACAAGGTTCTTCAAGGTAGACTGGTTAGCAAGGTTAGATCACATGGAATAGAGGGAGAACGAGCCATTTGGATATAGAACTGGCTCAAAGGTAGAAGACAGAGTGGTTGTGGAGGGTTGCTTTTCAGACTGGAGGCCTGTGACCAGCAGTGTGCCACAAGGATTGGTGCTGGGTCCACTGGTTTTGTCATTTATCTCAATGATTTGGATGTGGGCATTGGAGGTATGGTTAGTAAGTTTGCAGATGATACCAAAATTGGAGGCTTAGTCGAGAGCGAAAAGGGTTACCTCAGAGTACAACAGGACCTTGATCAGATGAGGCAATGGGCTAAGGAGTGGCAGATGGAGTTTAATTTAGATAAATGTGAAGTACTGCATTTTGGAAAGGTAGATCAGGGTAAGGACTTATGCACTTAATGATAAAGTCCTGGGAGTGTGGCTGAACAAAGAGACCTTGGAGTGCACATTCATAGTTCCTTAAAAGTGGAGTCCCAGGTAGACAGAATAGTGAAGAAGGCATTTGGTATGCATGTCTTTATTGGTTAGTGCATTGAGTGTAGGGATTGGGAGGTCATGTTTTGGCGGTACAGGACATTGGTGAGGCCACTATTGGAATACTGCGTGCAATTTTCATCTCCCTGCTATAGGAAGGATGTTGTGAAACTTAAAAGGGTTCAGAAAAGATTTACAAGGATGTTGGTAGGGTTGGAGGGTTTGAGCTATAGGGAGAGGCTGAATAGGCTGGAGGCTGTTTTCCCTGGAGCGTCGGAGGCAGAGGAGTGAACTTATAGAGGTTTACAGAATCATGAGGGGCATGGATAGGGTGAAAAGCCAAGGTCTTTTCCCTGGGGTGCGGGACTCCAAAACTAGAGGGCATAGGTTTAAAGTGAGGGGGAAAGATTTAAAAGGGACCTAAGAGGTAATGTTTTCACGCAGAGGGTGGTGCATGTATGGAATGAATTGCCAGAGAAGGTAGTGGAGGCTGATACGATTACAACATTTAACAGACGTCTGGATTGGTATAGGATTAGGAAGGGTTTAGAGGGATATCGGCCAAATGCTGGCAAATGAGACTAGATTTATTTAGGAAACCTGGTCTTCATGTTCAAGTAGGACCCAAATATCTGCTTCCATGCGAGACAACTCTATGCCTCTATGACAGGTCATGGAGTTGGAGATGATATATAACATACAAATTTGGAAAAGTAGGCCATCTATCCCCTCAAAACTGCTCTATCATTCATCAACATCATGGCTGATGTGTTTGTTTCAAATTCCACATTCCTATTTACCTTGATAACCTTTGATTCCTTTGCCGAGCAAGAATCAATCTATCTGTGCCTTAAAAATTTTCAATGAACTTCCTACCACTGCCATCTGAGGCAGAGTTCCGAAGTTGGTCAAACCTTAGAAAAAATATCTGTCTGGAGAACAAATTTCCATAATTTAAGTTAATTTAATCCGAAACGTAGTAATAGTTGGTTTGACCTAAACTGCCATAAGATGTAAGAATGTAAAAGGAGAAGGAGGCCATTCAGTCAATTCCGTCTGTTCTGCTATTAATGATGTCATGGCTGATCTAAACAGGATCAGTAGTGAAATTTAGCATCTGTAACCAAAATGTGTTCCAGCCAATTGCAACAATCATGTGTCTGCCTCAGCTAAAATGAAATAAATCAACGCAGTCAAAGAACTACACTTTTGTCCATGTATCTCTGTGTATTTCTGATGCATAAATGTCAACTTTGAAAAGCTGACCACTCATGAACAGGCTTGTTTAGAAGAATATAGCACGAACTTGAGTATTACATTCTACCTCAAAGTATGAATAGTTGATCACCATTGCTGTATTCCACAATCGAATCAATGGCTGTTATGAATTTTCTGGACTTGTGCTGTCACAGCTACTTGGACTGAAAAATAATGGCAGTGTGAATGTATTTAATTTCATGAGTATAGTAAATGATTCAAGTAAAATAAAACCACTTGCTGTTGTTACGTTTCATACTAATACCAATTGAAACACTTAATCAGTGTGTTATGTGCACTTCTTAAGCATTTTTGAAATACCCATTGTTGTTCGAGATTTAGATAGTTTTCCATCATTGGCATAGCTCATGTCAAAGACTTGAGGTCCATTCAGAATTTGGTGCATGATCTCATTAGGTGAGATGTGGGCAAGGTTTGTGGTTCCTGAGGCAGCTGTGGACCAGTGTAGGCTGATTGCAATGTAGATCGCAAACCTCGGTTAGGTCTGAGAAGGGAGAATATAAGACCATTAGACATAGGAGCAGAAATTAGGCCATTCAGCCCACTGAGTCTGCTCCGCCATTCAATCATGGCTGATAAGTTCCTCAACCCCATTCTCTTGCTTTCTCCCTGTAACCCTTGATCCCCTTGATAATCAAGAACCTATCTATCTCAGTCTTAAATGTATTCAATGACCTGGCCTCCACAGCCTTCTGTGGCAGTGAATTCCACAGATTCATCACTCTCTGACTGAAGTACTTTCTCCTTATCTCTGTTCTAAAAGGTCTTCCGTTTTAGGCTGTGCCCTCGGGCCCTCGACTCTCCTACCAATGGAAACATCCTCC